CAGTGAAACTGGATATGTACCTGTGCACTTGGTGTCCCATCATTTTAATAATGTTACTCATATGGAAATCATATTACTTATTAGACACTCACATACACAAAATCAGGGGCCGGTAGCAATCCCGTGGATAAAATGTGCGCTTCTATTGTCCACAATGCCTACTAACACCCACTTTTGTCGGATTTCGGAAGCTTAAGAAGGAAGGTATGTCCGGAATATTGCTGCACTTTAAGTCAAAAACATCTACAAATGAGCATAGTCAATTGCTGTTTCTGCAGTAGATATATTTCTGTCAATAAAATGTCGGAATAAAGTTTGATAGCACCCATTTTGCAAAGACGAAAATCGTCAATATTCATCCTGGAAGAAAGTCGAAAGTCGCCACCGCACCTCAGCGCACAACTGAAAGACCTAACAACTGTTCTTCTATTTCTACTGCGAAGGCTTGAGAATAAAGCTTAGAATTTGCAAACTGGAATGATGGTTGAGTATTAGTTACTCAGGTCGTAACAAACACGGCAACAGAAACATCACGCGCGTTGTGGTGCGTTCTGTCATGCATTAAGGACTTTTCGAGTGTGATCAAGCGCATAAATGACGGGACTAAACGTTGGGACTTACCACTACCCCAAAGTTAGATTGCGCAGCATCGCCATGCGAACTAGGGACCAACCACATCCCGCGGCTCGGTCTGTCGAAGTTTATCTTACCCCATGTCCAAACTATCTTTGTAATTACGCAGATCAGGCTGAACGCGCACTTCCACCGCGCATACAAGGACATAAGGTGGCTGTGCTACCTGGTGACGAATTACCCCATGTAGTTGCCGGGCCTACGAAATCGGTCATGAGTTAAACTTTGAAATTAAAACTTTGTTAGAACTTTATCAAAGGCATTTATTCACTGGGAAATAAACATAGATTCGGCATTCTGATTTGCTTTGAAGAAACTATTATAGCACGGAGGTTAAGGCCCTAAAATCCTTATAAAATTACTGGCTTCTTATTAAAGATTGTAGTTCAAATTCTTATGACAAGGCACGTTAAACGAGTGTAAGTAATTCCAGAAACACTCGTTTTCCTCCTAAATAAATATTGTCATCAAAACCGTTGAAGGTTAAAACATTGACACTTTTGACATTAATTGGAACCGAAAATATTTATAAACCCGCGAAAAGCCACATACACTGATGCCTCCAGTCGGCAAAACGCTCACACATACAACAACAGCCAAACCGCAACGACTGCTTTTATTATGTGAGTTATATTGCATCCAAGCAATTAACCTCCGGCCTACACATAGCTTGTACAATGATGGCGAGCACGTATGAGATTTTCAGCATCCAAAACGCGCCCTTTCGCTACGTTCGACCCTAAATTCTCGAAACGCGTTAGAGTAAGGCCACAGGTGATATTAACACTTGGGTCTGAGCTCAACGTCTCTAGACCACTTTTGTCGGATTTCGGAAAAAAAGGACAAAATGGAGACGATGAGTCTCATGCGGTCTTTTGGCGCCTTCATAGTTGTTGCTTCTCGCTTAAACAAAACCTCATTTTCTTCTTGACACTCGCAGCATGCTTGTCCACGTGGTTCAACGGACTGCCAACGGATGCGACAACTCAGTTCCCCTCCAGACTGAGGTTCAATTTATAATGGCTGCTTTTTATGTTGCCGGCAGCACAAGTCTCTTTGTCTGACGATCAGATGCTCTTTTTTGCGTCTACCCGTGTGACAATCATTACCGCTGCTTTGACATCCTCAAACGCTGAAATCATACCGGTCTCTAGTAGTTATAATTTGGCCTTGGCATTGGGGCCCGCTCGGTTTTAGAGACGTGTGGATTAAATGATGGTTTTTCGAATATGAAAAGTGTCACCGCTGTTCGCTCAGATATTGTTGGCACGAGTACGATGGGTGGACCTCCAGTGTTTTCGAGTAGTAACCGCCTGTCTCCTAGCGGTCGACGTATGATAACGGTGTCTCTGCTTTATATATGTGCACAGGACCAAAGTTCGCATGACCATCTACCGACAGTTCAGCGATTTCACAGGTCTGAAACTTAAAGAAGTGCGAATAAACGGCAGACCGAACGTCGCAAGCATTTTTCCTACCAGTTCACATAGGTAATTGTGGTACAGTCCTATCAATTTAACCAGGAGCATTAAAACGGATTAGCGTGACTCTTTCTGACTGGGCCGTCCTCATTAGCAAAATGATTTGAGACTAGTCACATAGTACTGAGCAGTATGGATGTACGTTGTTCTAAAACTGAGTCGACTGACTGCAAATAAGGTATTGGCGTCGCGTTAGGCCAGCACTTTCGCCTTCGGCTTGATAACAGTGTAGGAATCAGGTAATTTAGACTGTCGATTGATGAGGGGCAAAAATCAAAATATGATTCCAGAAAAGCAGATCAACCGGAGTAATCAGCACGGATTTGATCGCAACCCTAGCCGGTCTTATGGCGAAATCCAGCCGAACGACTCAACATGTGCATTTAGTCAGGAGTCCTTCTCTGGGGACCCAAGACGACGTAAAGAGTTATGCTGTATCTGCCTTCTTAAATTAGCCTTTCGAAGGGATATCCACGTTCAGCTTGGAAATGCATAGTTGCGTCTACAAAGATCACACGAATATGTGCAGTTTCCTCATAAAAACTGAACCTCCCTCCTAGTTGTAATTTTATAGGACAGTCAACCAAGGTGTCTTTTGTAAAATATGATAAACCTCTTCCGTTGCCTAGCGTGGAATTTGCTTTGGAGTACCTAAATGTGTCCAATATATACCCACATACATCCATCAGGCGTCTGTAGAATAGCCGGACGCAGTAGTTGCTGATCAGAACCAGACAGGACACTGGAATTCTGAAGAAGAGCTTTACATCAAAAAATGATTTTGAGGTCATAGAATGCACTACATCGAACTGTTGCTCGCGGTCATTCTCAGATTACTGATCATAACGCGGACGATTGTGGTTATTAACTGAATTAGTGCGATGAAGATGTCATTGCCTCACATATTCCGTGCACAGACTGACCATTTTATGTTACTCAACAAAAAAATGAAAACCAGAAATCCCACTGAGACGAAATTAAAATGAATGCCAGATTGAACGACAGACACATTGTCACACTTAATCCCCTTGGTCAGGCCCAAAGTTATTTTCTGTTTTGCTTTCATGCCAGCGAAGGACGCATGAATTGAAATATTTTCATTGATATTTCGGCAGATTTTGACTAATCCATATTGACCCAACTGTGAAAAACTCGGCGCCTCGGTGGGATTCGAACCCACACAGTAAGGGGAAGGCTTTAGCGCAGCCAACGCTCTAACCACCTGAGCTAAGAGGCCCCGCCAGACGATGCGATTTTAATCACATTTGGGTCAAGTTAGCCGCCCAACCTACTGCAACGTCTGGAATCCACCAAATCTGATACAGTAAGTTGACTGCCCAATCTGCCAAAATATCAATGAATTACGCGAGCCTGGTAGTTATCTGGTGGATTCTAGGTGAATTACTTCGGAAATCCTGCTTGGGCAGTCAACTTACTGTATCAGATTTGGTGGATTCCAGACGTTGCAGTAGGTTGGGCGGGTAACTTGACCCAAATGTGATCAAAATCGCGTCGTCCGGCGGGGCCTCATAGCTCAGGTGGTTAGAGCGTTGGCTGCGCTAAAGCCTTCCCCTTACTGTGTGGGTTCGAATCCCACCGAGGCGTCGAGTTTTTCACAGTTGGGTCAATATGAAATAGTTTCACCAAAGAATGCGTTGACCACATGTAACCCAGAATTCAGAAGATGAAGATGCGATCACTGGAACAAGAAATTTATTTGCCTGAAGTTTCGGATTCACACTCGAATCCATCATCAGATACAATCGCAGACATTCGGCGAATAACCCAGAATTTTCGAATCTGGCTACCAGATTAATCAGCCACTGCTCACAAATCAGTGTCGGCTTACAAGTATGTAAGGCCAAATATGCCCACCAATGTCCCCATTTCAAATCTTTGTTCTAGCGTTTTAATCGCATCACCGCAGCTGAACCTTGTCTGAACTCTGAGTTCCTAATTTTTTACACATATTTAAAAGACATGTTGCCTCAGTTGCCGTTCTGACTCAATTGCGCTTCCTGCCTACAATCGTATGCATTTACGCAGGGCGAAATTCTCCCTTATAAATACACGAAAGATGGGTTTGTGAGAAGCATTACTGGCGGCACTCGCCACAGTTTTCTCATCCTTACTCTAGGAGGGAATGAGCTACCTTTCAAGAAGTTCGAAATTACTTAACATAAAAGATTCTTACTACAATTGTACGCACTGTTAGCACACCTACTAACGGCGCCCCTCCAGTGCATTTAGAGTGGGTCCTTTTTATGCTTATAATAATTACACCGTTTAACGTAAAATTAATCTTCCACAATCAGGTTAGTGGACAGAGTCTCTGTTGAAACAAATGCACAATCAAACCTTGTTTACGCACCAGGAGGATAGGCGAATACTCTTGCGACGATAGCAGAGACATACATGATGGAAAGCAGGGTTTTTTGCCAAATGATCAATAATAAAAGCATCGTTTTTTATATAAAAAATACATCGGATAACCACCAGCACTATTGCGTACTCCCGTCTGTAACAACAATCAGGCAGTGTCGTGTCGCCAAAATCGACTCATATTTAAACTCCCTTCACACCCGTGCTCGTACCCACGCAGTGCGGGCATAGTTTTACGTGCTTTGATTGTTTTATTAGTAGTATGCAACATTGAGAAAGCAGTTTGAATGTTACTTGGAACAACAACTGATAAAATCATATATACGATATATGCTGATAGAAGCGAACAGGCGAGTCCCAGGTAGCAGTTCAGAAGATGAAGATGCGATCACTGGGACAGTGATCGCATCTTCATCTTCTATACGATATATCCCTAGGTAACATATCCATAATACTTTATTTGTGGTCCCCAAGCTCTAATGCGGAAAATCCAATTCAACTAATCTACTTCGAGCCCTTTCTATAGACTCCATCAAAAATAAGACGCACAAGCATCTTGGGGAAGCGCAACTCTATCTAAAGTTTTGAATGAAGAACGAAGGTCATTATCTTAAACCATTACCGGGCGGAAAACGAATATACTCCTTAAGCAGCGCTTTTCTTTCGGCACCTGAATAGAATGAAAGGTTTTTACAAAGACACCAGGTAATCAAATATATGATTCGAATGGCAAACAGCCTTTTTCCGAACTGTCACGACGTAAGTGAAAAATGTCCCATTGAACATGATGTTTTGGCGGAATTGTTTGTGGCATTGTTGGGGGGGGGTCGCTTGAGATTGGTTTGATCGGTTTGTGCGTTCTCCCGCAAATTAGGTACAGCCTCTCTTGCTTGCGACAAGAATAAGAAACACTATTGTCATTACCATGGCAGCTGTCATGATAGTAAGACCCACAATGAAACCGGTTTGTTGAAGATAAATTTTTGGCTCGGTACTTGCGATATATCCTGTAGCATCAACCACGTAGCCTAATGCCCAGCTCGCTGATGCACCCGCAATCTAAAATAAGAAATGAAATGTAAGATGCCTAATTATCGATTGGTGAAAAGGAATGTTTCTGACATGAACCAAACTTCTCAACTACCATAAACGTCTTTTACGTGCACTGTGTGCAAGGGCCTTAACTTGATTTTCGGAAAGCACGTATTTCTGGTTATTATGTGCACCGGCAGGCATAACCTACATTTTAAACGTATTTCGGGGCAGATCACAGAGAAGCCCTTTTTTACTGGCGTTGTTTAGATGACACAGCTTATTTTGCTGAGAATGATTTCTTTTTGCTTTTTTGAAATTGTTTGTCATTTTATTTTTAACACAATTTTGAAAACGACTGAAACGTAGTCCTTTGTAGCACTTCGTTACATGCATTTGTTGCAACTTAGATACTTATATGAGATACATGCACCTCCGAATGTCTTTCGAATTTTAACGAAACTTCAATGAGGCGGATGTTCTGCTATCTTCGCCTGCAACACTCACAATGGAATTCCTCGAAAAGTCAGCTAAAAACGCATGTGCATATGCTTTGCCAGTTTTAATTAGTAACTTTAACTTATTCTCTATTGTACGGAAAAATAAGGCTTGAAAACTTTTCCGGACCGCTATAAAAGTGGGCTTTGTATTATAATCCGCCTTTCAGAAATTGTTTTCGCATTCCAAAGAGGGCGTGTTTTACCTTTTTTACAAATTCGATATTCCTCCAGCTGTCACTTGAATTGAAGCCATAGCCCTCCAAGAGACGTTCAATATAATGTCCATCAAAGCAGTAATCCGCAACAAACTTGTGCGTTTCTGGCCTATTCTGCTGAGCTACCTAAATAGCAGCAATAATTACAACCAATTAAAACGCAGAAACAGTATAAACAGTATTCCACTCTGTTTTAAAAGATAAATTGTACATTGCGTACTCGTATTGCATAGATAAACCATACAGTTTGATCAGATCTTTTAGCATCTAGAAAATGAGTACTAAGCAATGTTGGAAAGGTTTTCGTAGGCCCAGACTAAAATGTTAATACTCTCTACAATTTGCAACCTTTTTTTCAAAAAAGAAGTGTTAGGCTCATGTTTTGCAAACGCATTTTAAAAAGTCACGAAATTACGCTTAATAGGCATATAAGAACGATAAAATGAACAAGCTTGCTAGCCTGTTAATCCTAGAAAAGTCATGCATACCAGTGCTGTAAAAGCAGAATGTCAAACAGAAAGGACCACGTTTCAACAGTGCGTCATGTCTTTTTGGCTCCGTGCATAATACTTCGAGACTGATTTCAACTGCCACCAATTTTGCAAGGATTTTATTCGCACACGTTCTTGCTTACCCTCATCGTAAATAACAGACACAGCCGAATGTACAGATAGTTCATTTTTAAAAGCAAGGTCTCTCATACTCGTAACAGAAGCATGGCAGCAAGAACACAGTGTCTCTTTTACGCTGTTTTAGGTTTAGAGACTGCACGAAACTGTAGCTTACATTCTACGTCATCAGAAACACCGGGGATTGATATTTTTCAGGACTTTGTCAGAGTCACGGACACATCACAATGACAACTGTTATCCGGGTGACCCTCCAGCTGCATTCTTTGAAGACCACCAGAAATCGTTTACCGTCCTCTGCCGCCCTGTGTTTGCGTTCTCCTTCCCCTAATGCCAACACCATAACCTGTCGAACGGGTTATTTAATTGCTTCAGTCGTGTTTTGTGACAGCCAAAGCTGCTGCAATTTTTGCTGGCACCTTATCGGTGTTTATGTTCAATTCTACATGCCACATTTCCGGTCACTGAATCTCTCAAATTGCGCTCGTTCCTGACAGTCACGTCTTGCGATGTTAGCCAAGCCCCTAGAGCTTCCCAACCAGGACTTGTTGAGCCTACCCCAATCCTACGTAAACTCATCAGTTGGACACCATAAACCTAGAAGGAAATTCCCCATATGTTAAAACATACTTATGCATATGGTTTGACGTAAATATTTTCCCAATAATCTCAACACATATACGGGCTAATATCCCAGAGATGCATTTTGCAAATTTGTTACTACCTCCTGTTAAGCTTAGAGTCATTCCAAAAACCACATGCGGAGTGTCGGGGGATCCCCACGCAGGAGACAAAGATGAATTACATAAGCCCGTACTTTAAGCTAGCAGGTGTTGCGAGAAACTGGATAGTGATGGCGACCTGCACTTTTTTATCTCAAGTCAAACTTGTGGCAAAACAGTGTGTCGAATTTTAGCTAGTACACGACTAATTCGGTCTGTATATAGCTGGCTAGATACGGGTCCGGCCGCGCCAGCCACTTGCGTCTTCCCCCACCTCCGGTCTTTTTGACTATGTCTTGACACCAAGCCCAGTTGGGAGAGGAGATGAGAGTGCAGAATATTCAGCGTAAGTCAAGTAGCACTTTTAAAGGAATGACGCGCAAGTAACCCTGCTTATTCTCCCCCAGCTGTGGAGCATAAGATAGACATTGTGGAAACCGCCTGCCGAACTTCATACATCATAGTCCTTTTTCACTTCAGAAGTTGTGTGAATTTTATGACGTATATATTGTATACGTTAAATATACGATTTGTTTATATGGAAAGTATACAGTTTTTCGTTTGGATACATTAAGCGTATTCGGAAATCAGATTCGAAAATATTCGAGAATTGGGAAGGAGTTTAAAACCTGGAGATACTCTTCCATCAAGTGCAAAATTTGAAGAAGACGTAATTTGCTACGAAATGAGTATAAAAATATTTTGTGCATATTTCTTACAAAGCATTTGGATTTATAGGGATATCGAAAACAAATAGGAAAATTCATGCTATATGAGTGGTCCACTTTTGCCAAATATAGTTTTTGCAGGCGTCCCGAAAACGTCTTAAAGACTGACGTCGGGTCCTGACTGAAGCCTCTTTTGAGTATGTTGCACGATGATGAATACCACAACCCCATTTGACAATCTTTTGTGATTGTAAACGTTGTTCGGAATTCTGGTTAACATTTTGTGAGGTAGGATGGATACTGTTTATGGAAAATCACCAGATTTTTACAGTTTTCAACACTGGAATGAAGACCATTTAACGTGGAAGCAAATATACACTCACAACCGCGTTATTTGTTGAATGTTGACTGACGGTTTTCTTCCTCTTCCACCGAAGTATTTTTACCCACAATAATAAATCATATACTTTTCTTATCGCGCATACGTTACAACGCTTACTGCATAGGTCAAATTCCCTATTTAGCACAGAAATCACCAAAGACGATTACCTGTATTACAACTTATCCGAATGGCATCACTAATAAAGAGAAGAGAGACTGGAATGACCATTTCTGAATTATAAATCGTCATCAGCCTACCATACCTAACCGGAGGGGTAGAACAATTGGGATTCGGACCCAGAATCCGTGGTCATTTAGTTTAATGCGCTTTGGGTTGAGACGATTTTTCGTACTCCTGTCAGTTGCGACCGGGTATATAGAATAGGTTTTAGGTGCGTTCATCGACCGGGATATGAGTATGCTCGTCCCATTGTGGTTTGGGCCCGACATAAAGCCCCACAGACTGTCAAAAACAACTAATAGTATAAGCAAAATGGGATCGCTAACAAGGGAGCCTAGAGTAACTATTTCTGGCTTATCATCCGTTGTCAACCAGCCATACCCAAATCCCTATTTAGAATATCTAGGCTCTAAAACCATCCGCCAAGCACAGTGAATGAGCGTATAATGTAACCTACTGTGTAAAGTTTATCAATTATAAACACCTTATTCGGCTTCTACGCGATTTTGCTTACAATTTCAACAGGAGAGTAATTCAACTAAATATATTCCCTCGTGAAAGGTCACATCTCAATAAATTTCGATTTTTGAACTAGTAGAAAGTGTAGTGTCCATAAAGAAATCACAGGGCGACCGGCACCGCTTCCCATGGACTACCCGTAGCACTGTCTAGATGGATAGACGCTACCAAGATGATATTATACAGAATTAGACATCACCCGAATCACAGGTGGCCTTGGGCTAAATTACTCAAGAGGTTAGGGTTGTTGTTGAGGTTAGGATGTGCGTCAGAGTTACAGTTAGGGATAGAGTTAGAGCTAAAGTTAGCGCTAAGCCAAGGAAATAGATGGTCCCTGGAATTTAGCGCAAGGCCACCTGTGATGTAAGGCGCATATTCCATATACAAAGTTTGTCTATCGTATTCCAAAGGTTAATTACTAGTGGTTCGTTAAAGCGGTTGGTTAAGTTTTGGAATAGCATTTGTCGTGTTAGCGTCCTTAGGTGGCGTGTAGGTTAAAAACTCAAAATGAGGGTGCGAGGTACGACCACGCATGTAAATGCTGTCTTAAGTGCTCTAAAGATCAGTGTAGGAATTTTAATGAAGTTTATGCTTAAAGTTTTAAAATTTTGGGGGCTTTCGAGATGCACATCAAAACTCCCACAAATTTTTGGCCAATGAAACGTTTATCAGAGCGCCTTTTAATTGGCCTCTCTTTCTCGTTCGTTATTTTATTTTGGTTCGTAAAAAGAGTCAAAGATTTTACATTCATATTTAACATTGTTTTACGACAGACCTCTGTCCAGCTCTTTCGACAGTAAGCATCCACAGCATTTCTCACTTGCGACCTGGTGAGATTCTTTCCGCCGGTTGGGAATTTGAGGAATTCGATGGGGAAATAGAAGCCTGAAAATGCCTTGTAAAAAAGAGGGCAGTGGTATCTTTTGTACGACAAATACTAGTCGATATAATTTGGTAATGGATGTATAAAAGGCCAATAAAATCAAAAATTACTATGGCTAACTCCGTTGGAATGATTATCCTCAGGTCTTTATGGACTAATAGTAACGTACTGAGGCACTAACCGCGACGATTTCATGAAGTTTTGTGTCATGCATCGAAAACAATTCCAAAGCAACAGATAGTCCCTTTGTGCGACTAGATTCTGGTGATGCTCATCAAACTATGTCAACTGAACATAGTTAAATGATCTACTCAAAGGACCAGCTATAATCCTGTTAAATATCTAGGCATCTCCATCTTATTTTATGCACAAACAGTCCACTAAATTGTCGAAGTCAAGCTGGATGAGGACTCACACAATGAATGCGTAAAAACTAGAGCGCGTTTTGATATAGGGCATCAAGCAACAGACGGTGGTCTTTTTGTCAACGCGTCAGGAAAGTTGGGTGGCAGCCAGCATGAAAATTTGACGCGTAAAAAATATTAAAAGCTCTTAGCAGAAATTATTGACGGGTCATTCTGAACTTCTGGCCATAAATGAAACCATATTGCTCAATCTGGAGACCTCCCACGCCCATTATCGTAGGCCGAAAGGAACTGCAAGCGTGAGTTCTTCCGTCCAGAAAAATGATGTCTACTGTGTGTCCCAAAGTGTGGTAGGCGCGGGACGGTGACTTGCACGTAAATTGCTTTATCGTGGTAGCAAACTTGCACATTATCTGCCGCACCCTTTTATTTCTTGCCTTGCCAGGAGGCGAGGCATGACGTAGTCAGGACGACCGGAGGTGGGCTTTGGCGCCGTAATTGACAAAACCGGACATCCATTCTATGCGTGCTACGCACGACCTGGTTTTCCCAAAAACAGTACGATCGCTGATCGCATCCGAGTGTGACTGGCGTAGAGGCCACGTTAAGAAGAAGCTATTGCAGTCTGCATTACCGTCCTGAGGGGACCCAGTTATTTCTTCAGATGGCAGTCTTCTAAGCCACAAGCGTCAACGCCCATTTGTTATTCTTTTCCTGTCGCAGACAATGAAAACACTTCGTCCCAGTAAAGGGAACCCCGTCTTCTTTGTTTTCAAAAGAAGCGCTTACTAGAAACGTGTCTTTTGCTTCTTTAGAAATAAAGTATGCTAATTTAGCCTTTCTCGACTTCATCAATGTAGTTGCTTAGTTGACTTTCAAAGAAATTTTTTAGAAGCATACGATACTGCGCCATTGCTTTTTGCTATGCTCACACTTTCCTCAATTTTTTCACTCCCTTCCATTTAAAGTGATCACAATGCGTCCATGACTTACAAAGAATTTACCACGGACAGGTGGTTGATAGACATTATTGAAAGAACATGTTTCATGGGTGCATCCCTTTGAAGGAAAAAGCTTGTTGACTTCCCTGCTGCACTTCCCTGGATCGCCTTCGCCGACTATTTTGACTTGCGGAGGCATATTCTAAAATGGAATTTGAGATTAAAAATATTATTCTTTGGCAGTCATGACTGTATACATATTCAATATATTTTGAAATTAGACTTCCTCTTCAAGATGTACTTTATAATTTGTACTGATTATATATTTCATAGTACGCAACATTGTTGCGACATCCTGTATTTAAAACCTCGCATGAGGTTATCAAAGCTCCCTTTGTGTACTTTGGATTAGGCTAGTAGAAGAAGAGTGCTTAAGTCCGTCTGAAGTGTCAGTACCAAAATAGGTTCCAACTCCAATTTTACCGCTCTCCTTATAAGGCTGGCTAATTAAAATTTGTATAGCGGCGAAATAAAGCAACATATCCCGACTGCGCGCAGATGACGATAGGCCTCTCTTGCTTTAGGCTGACATTCTAGACATAAAACAGGAAAATCTGGTATTTACTGCATAAACAGAAAAGGGTAACTCGGATGAAGTGTTCTGGGTTATTATAAATCATTAACCGCCCCTGTTCCGAATCCGGACAAAAAAATCATGATTGTTATTTTCGTCTATATTTTTGTAGGCAAAATATTCAGACTTAGTATTTCTTTAACTTTGCACACTGTGTGTGCTGTTGAATGTCACCACTTTCGTCTTTTTTAGAATAAATCCGTTTACATGAATGAAAAGGGAAACGAACATATCAGCTGGAGTGCATGACTTACAAGAATCCCTTAGCGGTCTTAGTTTCCGTCAAAAAAGTTTTAGATTTTAAGTAAATGCGTATGATAAAAATGGTGAGGGAAATGTTACCCTGTCAACATTTTTAACAATTTCTCGTGGGCTTATTTTACAAATTATTTTGATCAATGCAAGCTCACATTTACGATCGTAGCGACTTACAATAACATTTGTCTCAAAGTTACGGACATCTACATGGATAAAGTCTTTACATACGTGCGGTTTTACACATTTTACACAAAGAGTAGCCTAGAAAGTAGTTCTTTAATCTAGAGCGCTCAATTCCAATGCAGAAGTCACCCGCCACGTATGGAAAATTAGAATCCATAACAATTTACAAAAACAATACTTTAGTTCAAATCAAACTTTTTAGCGCAAACAATGGTGGTTAGACCCTATCTTTCAATCACAAAATCGGCTTACCGCTGGTGGGTTAATTTGAGATCCAATCAGCTGTTCAGCAAACTTCGACGTTACACAAGGTGCCGTAAATATCGTCGCTGTGTCAACCATTTTTTCATATCCTCGAAGGTGGCAAGGACTCATTACCGTATTCTAATTTAAAAATGATCAGAAAACTTTAGAAAGAGGGTTTCGCCAGCTCTTATCATTTAAAATCGGAAATATTTAGTAAAAGAAGGTTTAATGGTGCAATCGTTTTCTATTTGCCTCATTGTTGAGTCATGTGATGCATCCAGAAATGATTGTTATTAATTAGAATGAGGTTCCGTTATTCAAGTAGACAGTAGAATCAAACGATTCAATCCAATAATGTAACGATCCTGCTCAGATTTCGTTAACAGAAGATTAATGAGGCAAGCCCAAAACGTACACTGTAACTGGAATTCAGTAAAATGCTATGCGTAAAAAGCATATGAAAAGCCTGTCTCATTTCAAGGTCAAATCCGCATTGGACGAAATAGTATCGATGTTGTACCTGGCAGAGGAACAAATGACGAACAGTCTTATATTGAAAAGCCACAAACACAGCGAATTTTTCCAATATGTTGGGTACCCAACTGTTAGTGCACCGAAGAGGCCTTGTGGGGGGTCAACACAAATGACTGCAGATTGCTGAGGCCCACATTTTGCTAGAGCATTCACCAGCAGATTTCTGCAAACTCTCGAGGTCAAGAAAGTGATAATGGTGGTGAAAATGAGCTTTTCATCAAAAGGGTTTTCAAGGCCAGTGGCCATTATGCTTGGTCAATTGGGGTTATCAGCCGAATCCGGTTTGCTGAATGCCCACTAAAAGAGTAGATCAAATGTATTGAAAATAACTGATTTTGTCACGTGTGGTCCAAATCAAGTAGGAAAAAGCAACCAGGTCCTGTAATATCGCATGTAATATCACGCAGATAAACGGATGGCTCATGAACAAAAGTGAGCTGTACAGTTTAGGCTTGGAAACAGGTCGTAATTGACTAGGGAAATACATCGAAACTGTGGTTATAATAGACGGTTGCAATCTCTGGCAAACGCTCTTTTTTATTTGGTCGATGAGGGGAAAGAGTTGAGGAGCGCGAGTAATTTAAAATCGGCAGATATTGAACACCGTTTGCCTTGTAATCTTCCGCGAACTTTCCTTTGTTCTAGTGACGGACGTGATTAAAGTGTGAACAGAATGTTTATACTGCTGCTTAGCAAAAAATAATCTCTGTAGATTAATAGGGTGTAAATGGAAGTCCACTGGATGAGACATGTTTACCATGGAAGTTTCGGTGGACAGCGAAACTTCTCAAGTGATATCTGGAACAGCGGGCACGAGCACATGTCTTTTCGTTGCTACAAACAATGCTTAAATCTTTGTGCTTCACGTTACAGCAAGCCGGCGCAGTCTTGATCGGCCTACGGAGGTTGTGTGGTTGTAAATCATAGGCTCTGTCTTTAAGTAGCCATTTGTTTAGAAGTGGGAAGACAGTGGTCAAAGAGGGTGAGGCCAGCCTAGAAAACGAGGTTTTGTTGCAAGAGGCGTGGAGAATTTGTGAACACTCTCGATGTCTCTCGTTGCTGTACTGATATTTTTTTCGTTGGTCTGTAGTGTAAACAAAGGCCTTCCGCATTTCTCATACTGGTCCAGATTACTTGTTAACGGAGATAGAATAGATTGCGTTGGGTGATATTAACGTCATTTCTTGGCATTCTAGATTCATCGTCGTACTCTGGGCCTTCCAAGGTATAGCGTGGAGACTTCTGAGAGGCAGTCTTAAGCTATTAATGGCCTGACTAACCTTAGAGATCTGGAATGCGGCTAAGCCATAAACTTTTATGCAGGGACATTGGTCCATAAATATTAAAAGCTTTGGATTGACATGTGTAGTGAATAAGTTTCAATGACTGGAAACTAAAAGATCTACAATGACATTAGTATGCGCCCAGGTTTAAACAAATTATGGTCCTTTTTTGTTTCATACCGATTGTAGATCGTTCACTGATGCAAACTTTCATTAGCACAAGGTAAAGCGTGGAACAAAATAATACCAGGGCAGATAAACAACTCCCTTCTATACTACTTCTGTTAACGAAAACATCAAGGTAGACGTATTTTGCATGAAATGGGTCAGTATGTCTAAGCATAGGTTTCTGACTATGAGACTGATCTATCTAGAAATCTACATTCAGAAGTTTCTCTCCAAATTATGTTTCTGTTCACAGTTATTGCCACTGGTTTAGCCACCAAAGGCGCTTTAAAATCTGTTGTTCGTAGCTTGATGCCTTAGGCGTAATCGTGGATTTTTAAAGTTTGTTATGGAAGTTCAAGTGTGTTTTTAAATGTGAAGCGTGTCCCCGGATAAGTTTCTTGTCCCAGATACAGGCTGAAGCGGCTAGAAAGTGCGAATGATGTCCCTTTTAGAAATGATGAGGGGGGAGATATCCCGATGGTTATCCACGATCGTTTCGTCTAAAAACGGTGTGTTCTGCATCCTGCAAATTTTTCCCTGCCCTCAAAGGTTCTGGATGGACGAGGTCAGTTGATCCAAAAGTTGAGGGTCGCTTTCTTTTTAGACATCCCATGGAATTTGCAAGTTTGAAGTTGCCTTGGGACTACGATCATCTCGTACAGAGTGGGTAATTGGGCGAAAAAAACAGTATTTCTTATTTGGACTAGTCTGTCAATAGATGGGTATACCGCACTCCTGGCGTAGGTACTAACTACGCCGAAAGTATTACCTCGACTATTTTCTGGAGTTCAAATGCCTGAAACCGCACAGCGCAATTTGAGGGACTTATTTATGAGCTGAACCCTTGGCAGTCACATCATATAAAAAAGCCTCAGCGAAACACGTGCCTGTGTGTTTAGCTAGTCGGGAGTGCGGTAGACCATCTGTCATATAAACTTTTACTACTAGAAGTCCTGTTTGGTTTCAGACTGGGCATTGCGTGGTTGTTCCACTGTGGTTGAATGTCTTTGACTCAAACATTTGCTGACATTTCGGGTACGACGCCAGGTTATATCTCAGACACTTAACGCCGTGGCCTGCACTAGAAAATTTGCGGCTGGCCTGTCTAAGCTAGTCAGCGTTATAACTCGGGCGGCTCAGAACCCCGAACCTGTTATTCACTTCATCACTAGTACTGCATCATCCGAATGTTTGTGCATGTCCATTGTTCTCCGCTCCAGTGGATTTTTGTTCCATGATGATACAAAAGAAAATCTTTTCCGTTCTTTACCTGCTTTCATTAAAGTTGGAGCCTTTCGGAGAGCGGATGCTGTATTTTCTTCATTATGTCACCGAAGCGGTATTAGTGTCGTCGGTCTGCGGTCGCATGGACTGCCCTGCAGTGCTTTTAATCGGTTCTAAATCCCTCCACCAGTGTTCAGAATTTTCATCCTCCAGAACTTTTATTTATCTTAGATTCACATCCCTTCTGGTCAGAGATAACCTGCCTTTAACCAAGTCGAATATTTAAGGTTCTTTTTCATGAGCGTTGTATCTATGCGTTGGACTTGTGACCTCAGACGGCGTTGACTCTGACACTTGACACTGCACACCGCCCTTCCGTTAATTAATTTACTGTGGACGCCTGTCTTAGGCAAAACCTTGTTGATAATAAATTATTTCGAAAGATACGAGTGTAGTTGTAAATATACAAGTCAACTGTAGGAAATAAAGGCAGTTATGATGTAAAATGGTTATTCATAATGGTTGCCATGATAAAGGGTGAGGAATTGGCATGAATGTACTTTAGACTGTGACAGAGTTTACATAAATATATATGTTTAGAACGCATTTTTTAGTCAATAATAACTTAGCCGGTTCAATTAAATTGCAAAAATGGCCTTGCCCTTACCAAGTTTTTAGCTTCGGAGATTATCTGTGCAATATATCGCTGACCGTTTGCTCCCTTCCCATAGCATAGGAAACTGTAGCTATATAAATTGTAGCTCTGACCGAACATGCTAATTGGCATGGTGTGTTTTGCGGGAACATCCTTCGTAGGTACAAAAGCAATTTGAGTACTGGCACCCCCGAGGTCAAGCATGCCAACCGTTTCGTCCGCTGGTTTTGGAGGCGTGCCTTCAGGCTGAATGATAACATTGTGCATTAGGTTCGTATTTTATGCTCAGAATTTCAATCATTCTATGCTTATTTTAGACTAGATAGTATCAGTTTCTGAACATATATCCAGGCTAAATGACCTGGTTTAGAAAGTTTTGTCGCAAACATAGCATAGTGTGCGCATGCGTTTAGGTCTCAGTCATTCCGCTTTTGTTTACTAACGGTCAATAAAAGTTTATGTTGTGAATTGTTAAGAATAAAATAGCATTCTGTCCGTTGTTTTATTCTACGTCAGCACTTTTGAAGGAAAATTCAAGTAGGTATTTATATGTGGTGTTTGCGTTAACCAATTCAGACAGAGCATGGAATATGCTCGTCCTGGTTTTTATTGAAACTGAAATCTGGAACTGGCAAGGGCAATTGCATAACCCCGAATGCTATTACTATTAACTCCCTGTATGTATTATGAGGATAGGCCAAGTGCTCACAAGATCCAAGCGATTGCCACATTCGGGTCTTTTGTTGACCGCTCTTGATTTTTAAACAAGTGACGCCTTTTATTAGATAGGACTGGACTTTGAACAATAGCTGCTGGTTTCGGCATTGTCCTGTTCAAAGTTCTTGTGCAAATGTACATTACCCGCACTAATACAAGTCCGTATTCTGGAATATGGAGACGTTTACGTTTGTCTGTTAAAAATAGAGTTGACCGATATTCTGGACGAACTGCCATAACACATGCGCATGAGATAAATTAAATCACAAATGGTTTTACATTGCACATCCTACTTCTTACCATATCAGCATAAATATCTAAGGCCACCAGAGAACTTACAATTTATTCATGTACGTAGAGCTTTTATCTCATATTTGTGGGTATGTTTTCACGTTCGCAATCATTTAAAGCCCATTTTTCAAGTTAATTTTAAAAAAATACTGCCTTAAAATACTCCTTGAATACTGGTATCAAACAAAAAGTATGATTTATTTCATTATTAAATGCTAAGGACGTTTGACTTTCCTAAATGTTGCTGAGTATATTATACTCAAATTCTAGTTTGGACTGCTTCAACGCTAACACACTAGGCAAGCTCCATTTAAATAGCTAAAAATTATAAGCGGCATGGAATTAGGAGCGAGGGAAGGCAGGTAAAACCTCGTTGGCTGAGGCTGAAACGAGGAGCTTTAAATGCTCGCTTTCGGTATCCACGAATTTTATTTGCTCATACAAAATATAGGTGGACGCAGCCGTAAAGATATCGTTATCAACTTACAGAACAAACGCCAATTTCTCTATTCTTGGGGCAAATTTTTCCTTTCGACAAAATACGTTATCAATGAAAAACTTGTAAAACTCACGTCTCCCAGTTTTTTATCCAAATAGTTTGCGGCAACCCAACCATAACGACCCTCTGTAGACCCACTTATTATGCGAATGTCCGAGAAAATGTTATGAACCGTAGCGCCGACGTGTGGTAATTTCTGGCGCAAGTCCTGCAGAATGGCATCCGATTTTAGAGGTTCATTAATGCTTAAAGTAACCAAAAGAGTGCGTCAGCCGAACCTGTGACAGACACCACCACAGTTTAACAGTTTTATGGAGAAAAACCGTGTAACCTAATAAATCAAAGATATGACACCAAGAAGATCCCATTTTAAAACAGTTGTGCGTGTTTCAGTGATATCTCAGTACCAGATGTTTTGATTTAATGCACAATAACCGCTGGTTGAGACGTTAATGCGTAAAAGTGTGCACATATCTTCTAATTATGTTCTCTGTAGTGTGCAGTCGTGCATATTTGTTGGGGAACTCTTAGAAAAAATATAGGAGCATCCCATGTCGGGATATAACTTAATTCTCAGTTGAACTGTTTGAGCTTGAGTTAATCGATACGGGGTCAATTTATTTTAAGTTGACCGTCTTTGGAAGTGCAGACCGTGGGTTTCTTATAAGACATTGCTGATATTGCTTTAAACTCCGTCATTTTCAATGACCTTCCATGGCACATTTAAAAATAACTGCAAAATATCATAGGTTGCTTGCAATTTTTATGATATTAAATTTGTAGTTGGCTAACTAAACTGATTCACTGAGATCCGTTTTGTGGAATAATATATTGCTGCATTCATGAGTCCTTGCTAGATTCACTCTCAAAACTTACAAAGCAGATATGAGGAATCTATATTCAGCAAATAAACGCATTAATATTAAAGAAGCCCTATTAAAATTCCATATATTTATTTTTTGCGTAACGTTGCTTGAATCATTTGAATTGTATTAAACTAAACATTAATGAACGTAAAATTTTAGAGAAACTTACTCTAGTAAACGCATTCCGGCGGTGGCTGCCAGGTAAAGGGATGTAGATTTGCGTTTGTTGGCGGGGACATTTTGTTGAAGCATGCTATACAAGACGGGGAACAGTTCCTGGCCAGCCTGCGGCGGATTATCGCCATAAGCAGAAATTCCCGGTTCTTCAAAAGGGTTTTGATTATTGATTATTGACTGAATCAAGTTTATCTCGTATGTAATAGGCCTATTTAATGATATTATTGTCAAGCTAATATTTGTTAACTTTTGCTTACGTTGCTGAACACTCTGGTGCATATATTCCTGAAATTTTCACCCTTAAGTATCAGAGATTACTTTTTATTTATTCGTTAAACATTCACATAATACCTCTGTTTTTGCCAGCCAAATGGAATAATTAAACAATTAATCCGTAACAGTATGCTTCAATCTATTCAAAAGTCTTTTTTTAGTACTGTGTATGCTTAAAATATCAGTCAATGGACTCTAGTTTGTCGTTTTAAAGTGTCTCTGATTTATAATGTTACCAATTAATTTGACTTAGTTAACTAAAAAAGAGTTCGTATTTATAAGTTAAAAGTAATCGAATTTTAGTTATTCTATCACATATGCACAAATACAGTTTTGAAGAGAAATATTATTACTGAGAGACACATTCTGTCAACTCCAAATATAAAATGGAGGCTTATTTAATCGAAAATTTGGTTTTATCTTTGACTTCTATTAGGGCTGCGGACAAATTCACAGCAAAGGTAATAATACAATGACTCGCAAAACGTTCAACAGCCTAAGGTCAATTTCTGCTTTCTAAGCTTCATGGGATACTTTATCTATTCGCTCTGAAATTATGACTTTTTCTGTCGTTCTTTCTGCACGGACTGTTCGGCTAATTTTTTCGTCAAACTTACGTGTCATGACTGCAAATAAGTTGTTATCGATTACGTTTTTACACGATATTGCCCGGGTGATGTACAAAGTCAGTCATTTCGCTTAATTCCTGGCTCTAGACGATACAGCAACTGTGTAAGTAAACACGAAGTAAAGGCATAGGCCAAAGCTTCAAAACTGCCACTAGTGTCGAATGTGTCACAAACAGTATTAGAACTGTACGCTTATTTTTAAAAAAGCCTGCAAATGCATTTTAGAGTAGGCAACGATCAAAGTTGTTGCTTGTTACATTGCAGCAATGAGCAATATGCTGTCTAATTTCTAAAACTGCTAGTTACTGCTTAACTAAAAGTTATTTGTAAGCAGATCAAAGGATTGTAACCAACAAAGGACATAATAAAATGAAATTCGCACTACATTTTTTCAGCTTTTTTTCTTCATAATGATTCTGTGGTACCTTTTACTGTGTAATTGACTTGTTCAACCCAACCATTTTTGCGGAAAGGATAATCCAGCCATTTAAGCACAGATACTTTTGAGGATGTTGATCCAGCATCTATCATCAGGGCGTACTGAAAGATATAAGTAGATAACTAATTTAAACCTTTTGCTGAATACCGTTAATGTTTATATTAATCTAGCTATGCAGTTCTTAGCAAAAGGACATAATTTCCCGAAGAAAATTGTTAAAATCCAGGTTGTTGCAACTTTTTATTTAACGGAAAATAATAAAAGACACTGGCCCCGCGATTAAAGTATGTTTTTTTCTAACAGCTTTGTTGACAAGGTAAAACTTAATTAGGTTGCTTTTGTACATTACATCAAACACTTTCATATAGCGTCTCAGGTTGTTTTGTATTCAGTTCTCTAATACACGTAAAAATTTGCAAATTGTGATATTAAGATAAACGCACTGCATATCCAACATTGTTTGCGACGACGAAGAGGACGACAATTATGGTTATTCCGATGAGCAATAGTGCGAGCAGTACCGATAACAAAATGATCAAGGCCTTTTTTGTTGACGTTTTTGGGGCAGTGACAGAAGCTTGCAGAATTTCGTCTTCTTTATCGTCAAATATGGCATTTGGGTTTTTCTGACTATAAACAGCACAAAGAGAACACTTTTCTTTAGATTACTGTGTCCAAAGTTGCATAACTATTAGAGAGTGGCTAAATCTAGTTTTCAACTGCGACATCTGTATTTCAACTTGTCGTGTTCTCATTGCAAACAGGTTTGAGAGAAAAATGTTGCAAAAGTAACTCTACAAAATAAGGTAACGATTTCATGTTATAACTCATTAACGTCCAATACATTTTCATCATTCACATTCGCAGAAATAGCCTTTACACAATCCGTTTACCTTGACATGACACACTCAATACGTCGGCCGGTTCTAAAAGGGATAGCATCTTTTAGCGATGTGGGCTCCGATAATATTCCAAATGTTCAAAATTAACCTAGTACTCACATTTTATTACGGATATTGATAATTCCAAACTTCGCATTTTAACTAGAAGAATTTCGAGATAAATGCTTACCGCTTCCTTACAGATTTCAAGGTTTTACCTGGAATTAACCCCTCGTTTTGTCTAAGGATCCGCTTTGATCTTTAGCTACATCTCACCTAACTATAGTTAGGTAAGGTGTGCAGCCATCAGCTAGTATATATTAACAAACAAATCTAAAAAATAATCTAAAAATAATGTTGTTTCCCGAGTAATTTCTTGGCTTGCCAAGAAATAACGTAAGAGACAGAATTATTTTGCGACTCACTAGTTCTTGCAATATTTACTTGAATAGATAAAAATGATTGGATAAATTTATTTTACTGCCCACTGTTCGAAAAATCATTAAGAAATAAGCCATCAACGTTAAAAAACGTGCAAAATTCAATATTTAAAAAATACGTATTTTTGTTTTTTTACGATACATGGAAATGAGCAAATACGATTTAAATTAAAGAAGTTGCTTGCTTCTGATTAAAGGAAACGAAATAGAAGCATCTCTATATAACGCGTATAAAATTAAGTCTAAACCCAAACAAACCAGTGAAAATCCTTACACTTTAGTTTTAATAAATTATAAATTTCGTTCTTTAGGGATGTCGTTATCACATAATCAACTTAAATACTTCATAAACGCACGACCTAGTTTTTGGTCCGTTATAACAACTGTAAACGAGTAGATTGTCTCAGAAATTGTTAATACTTACGTTTCCAGCAACACATTTCTTCTGAAAAAAGCTATATACCAAAGGTTGAGTCATGCATACACATTTGTTTGTCATCAATTTCATGAACTTATGAACCGATATGTCGAGGTTGAAGACTTATGAATCTCCTAGCTCCACTTCAGTATCATAGACTTTAAAACAATTTTGCTTGGCCAAGTATTTATAAGAACATAAATTTTTTAGTAAGCATCGGAAGGTCAACTAGCTGTGTAGAAAAGGTATGATAAATGGTATTGCATTCAGGAGTGTAAAGTGCGCCTGCATAAATCCTCTAAAAAAGATGAAACGTAGATCATGACACCGGCGTTCAATTTGAGACAACAGGAGCATATTCCAAATAAGATGATGTAATTGGGTAAGCTGCACAAAGTATTTGTCAATCTCGATCCAAAACTCCCTCGAAATAGTATCCAGACCAAACTGCCGCAGCTGAAACAATCGTCATTTTATGTACAATAGTTCTTCAGCAAATGAGCATCTAGTGTAGACTAGACGCGTTTTTACTGAAATACTACTGCACATATAACCACGATTGTTTTATCGGCGGCAATTTGCGCCTGGCTGTCACTTACCGCTAACTTTTTGAATTTCCGCATTTGCGGATTTAATTATCGATTCTATTTCTGTTCATCGATATGAATAGAGAGCTCAAGGGCAAAAGCCTCATTGCCTTATTAAAAGGACTCAAAGTGACTTAAAACTCGGACTTCTTTGCGAAAAACACTACAGTTTGTGCATAAAGTTGGACTAGCTGAAAGCATGGGTACTAGATATGCAGCCGAACGTCCTTTCCATCACAATGGCTTTGCTGCAGGCTGATGTGCTTGATGCCGGAATTGATCTCGGGTAAAAACCAACTTTTTCCGAGACAGGCTGCATAAAGTGCTGGAGGACTAGCCATCGGCGTCAAGAGAGGAATCGGTGCGTCCGAACACAGGAATAATCGTTACCGTGACTTTGACGCACTGCAGTTAAAACTAATGGCGCATTTTGCGCCAAATTTGATTTTCCTGACAGTATACGGGCCGCACAATCGCAATCTTCAAACTGATTTTAAAGAAATTGCTCGAAATTAAGAGGCGTTGGTAGCCGGAGGCTTTAACACACAGACGATCGGTTGGAAGAATTTATTAGTAAACGGTCCGCATAATTCCTTCGATTTTATTTTGTTTCAGTGTGCTTCCTAAGGATAATGGGCAATGTAACTGAAACGCTATTGATCACATGCCAGTTCGTTAGATAATGCTGTTTACGCCCTACTGTATAGGAATCTGCTGCTCAGTATCCCCGGAATGGTCTATGCCCGCATCCTTCTCAGCCGTCCTAACGGCCATATCAGACAGAGACGTCTTCCGGAATGTCCTTACAGCTTCCGATGACACCGCGAAACTATCGGCATGGACTTCGTCGCCTGCCAACTCCAAAATAAATGCTAGGAAACACCATTTTCGTTGACTTAACGATCTCCTTTGACACAGTAGATCGCGAGGTATCCCAGCAAATCATGCAGAAAACTGGCAGTCCTTACATTAGAACTAAAACAGGACTGAGTACGCTTTTAAAAGATTAGTAAGAAGTCTCATTTTTGATTGAATTCTTTAGTCTCTTGCACAGTCTGTCAGTCAAATTTCGCTGAAACTTCTTATTTTTGACCACAAATCAACTGCATTCACCGACATGATTTGAGGTTTTATCAGCAAGTGGAAAAAAACTGATTCGTAATTTTTCGGTTCACGTGGTCCCATTTCTTTTAAGTTTTACCTGTACAGATGATAAGATTTCTTCTAAAAGTCTTAGAAAATCGTCACATTTAACGATAAATCGTCTGTGCTGATCACTATTATTGTTGTTTCATCAGCCAGTTTTATATTTTCACCTTTTTTGCCCTACATTGCCTCATCTTTAGGTGAAAACATTACTTACAGTTTCCTTTTGTCACCTTTTCACCTGTCAGTTGTATGTTTTTTTAAAACGAATTTCGCTTTGAACGCAAACTGTATAAACGAAAATTCTGTCATTTAGTCTACCGATAGTGAAAACTATTCGAGATTTTTCGTCATACCTAGTCCTACTATTAACTCGTTTAGAACAAATAAATGTCCGTAAACGGGCAATTTCCGAACCTAATGAAGTTTATTATTAGAATTATATTATTCACGAATCCGTGTTCAAGTTTTCGCCAGCTTTTACTTCAAAAAAACTAGGACTAAGGTCCTGTTTTAATTTCTCCAATATGAAGTTTCAGGCAAACTTTCAACAAATTTGGGCGAACTTAAATTCCGAACTTCTCATATGAAACCCATTGTCAATATGAATAAACCTCACCTTGGGGTACTCGAAAGTTTAAACAACTTTGTTTTAATACGAATTTACTTTCCCTATTCTTGGTGTCCTCCTTAAAGAAAAAGTGCCAACACTTAGTTTTTAAGCAATGTGGAAAACTCGTACGTTGCATTGACCCTGATTCCTGAGGTCGAAGACAGCCGAAAGCGAAGCTTTACCTTTATTTTTGAACTGTTCCTAAGATTTGAAAGCCCTATGATGTGGCTGTTCATTTCCTTACCTCGAATGGCTTCAACTTTAAAGTCGCATAAACTAAGGGACTTTCATTAAAGATCAAAAATTTACCTAACCTGATCAAATAATTTTCGCCAAAGAAGTAAATTTTACTTCCTATCGTCTGCTGCGCTCAGTCCAATACCTTAAAGAAAACAAGCTCTTTGTTATCTGTGATAAAACTCCAGTGGAACGCAGATGTTCTCTCTCATTAACGAACAAGAGCCATTTACTAATTCTACTCATCCGTAGTTTGTTTTCGAAGTAGGTCATACAGCTGGTGTTAGCCAACCTATTCTTATATTTCCGATGGCTTTATTTTAACACACTTCATCCCAAGACCATATGCACTTGTTTCAAATGGAGCTGCCTCTTTGCAACATCTTCATGAAACCTAGATGATTCTCCTGATTTTACCTGACCGCTAAATCTTAGCAGTTATGTTAAACTAATCCCCTCGTCACAGTCGATGTCCATGGGCACTCTGGGTAATTACATAGTTTATACCATGCCTAACCAATTATGTCTGACCTAGTGCTACAAACAGATAAATCAGATAATACTCCAGGAGAATCTTTGCTTGCTCCTAACTAAAACTCTCGAATAAATGAAGGCAGCATGGTTGGAAACTTTACAGCACACCAGAGTATAGAATGCGTGCAAACAATGTGATTGGTAATTCTCTCAACCCGCCAGCTGGCCAGGCCCACAAACAATTATGCCTACTCATGCTGTTAACAATCGGCGAGACGCTGAGTCCGTTAAAGCTCTCAATCATACAGAATAGGAAAAGCACAACTAATGCCCAGTTTTAATTTTCGGCCGCGCCCTTGAAAGTCGTTTTCGAAACTGCTGCAGAGAAAGGCACCTTTGCGTCGCCTGCAACCCAAGGAATTTTTAGCCAGGTTGTAAGCCAAAAGTGCAAACGGAAATGGGAAAGTTGACAACGGAACTGGAAAAGTGGACGAGCAAAGGCTCAACACGCCTAAAAATAAGAGATGATGAAATAATTAAGGTCGAAAGACCATTTCTTTCACCGAAAGCAGTTATTATGACGGCCTAACCAATATAAAGGTGCCTAATTTCAAGACCACTATGGGTGTCAGTGGTTCCTGTTTAGAAATATATTATACTAACTGCCAGAGTCTTTTTGACAGCTAGATGAACTCGAAGTACTAGCCTATGGACAGAAATATCACATAATTGTTTTGGTAGATACATGGCTGAATGAGGAAATATGTGGCAGCGAAGTCAGTGTTCAAGGCTATCAAATGTTCCGTTGCGGTTAATTTCAACGTAGGGAGAATACATAGTGATTTATGCATCAAGCGCAATTTCGCGCTGTCATCGAGAAATACCCGATATGGAACCGCGATACTCTGATATAATTCCAAACAAGATTAGCATCAAACAGTTATCGACACTAAACCTGTGCGTGGTCTATCGGCCTTTCAGTTCGAATTAAAGCGTCGGCAGGGAACTCCGAACTGGAGTTGTTATGTTAACAGGAAAACTTACTAATTCTGGTTGGCTCTAGCGCATCAGGAATGGACTGGAAAATTTTCATACCAAACGACCC